GAGGTTTCAATGCACTCTTTGTTATTCTTGGCTGTTCTTTATCACGTCACGCCCGGGAGCTGAAAATAAATTTATTTCTTACTGTGCAGTTAAAAATAAGTATGCAAACTCTATTATTGTCAATTGACTTAATTTTCTTTAGAATATGACTGGCTTTTTCACTATAGGCTACATATTGCTAATTATGTTAGTAATTGAACATTTATTTCGCAGTGCAGTGCATAATGACCTTAAGTTTGACCTTCAATCGTTCATTGTCATATAATGAAAAATTAACATCATAAAGAACGATAATTCCTGTCGAGAGGAGAGATAAAAATGTTGAATTCTATTTTAAGAGATGGAAAAATGGGTGAAGAGAAGGAAAATAGTGGCGTTAGACGACTTACCTCAGATGAAATGACCGATTCTTGCCCTGTTCAAGTCTGGCTTATCCTCTTTTCGATAAATCACCACGAGTGGAACGCTCTTTCCTGTCAGTCTCGGCTTTATGTGACGGCTCTATTCTAGGATTGAAAACATTGTCCCATTTCCTTCGGGCTTAGCGCCATTTGTCAACGAAAATAAGTTCAGACGGTTAAGAAATGACAAGGAGATCCTCGGACAATGAGGGCAAAAGTTAAGACAAGTTATTTTCAAATGAGTCTGAGATGGATTGTACAATAATTTGTCCTAATTTTAACAGCGTTTATAAGAAAGAAAAAACATGTCGATTCAATTTACAAATAAAATTTTATCTGGTTAAATGTGTAAAAATATTTCTGTCAAAATGGCCGATGCCAGGGTCATTGTCGCCTTTAATGGTTCTGCAATGCTCCCGTCCTGAAATAGTTTTGTCCGTTTGTTCTCCAAGATTTGATTTAAGTTAATGTTATCTCAAAATGGAGAACAACAAAAACATCGGGCCCAAAATACAGGCGGATCTTTTTCTCCAAATAGCCTTCGGATTTGGTTGACGTGCAATTGGTCTCAATGTTACAACAGACGCTCAAAATTTATTGGTTGTAAAAAGTCAACAGACTCTAGGACAATCGCAATTTGAATGAATCAGAAAACCGAGAAAACTTTGTCAAAGCTGATAATCTAATCTGTTTTATTTTATTTTTTCCATTCGGCCCCTGCCTCCCAAGGACGTTCACCTGATGATTCACACGACCAAAACAATCCAATCCAGATATACTTCCAGAGCTCGAGAAAACGGGCGTGAAACCGAATGGATTACAGAGTTCATTGTTTGAAATAAAATGAAAAATAAACTTTATCCTGGAATTTAAAGTCACCCCGAATATTTAATTTACAAGGGTTTAGGCCTGATACAAAAATATATATAAAATAAAAATACTCAACAACTGAAATCAAACTGACAAGGAACAATTAAGAATCTTTGGCGTTAAGACAAGAGGTAATGGGGAGGATAGAGTGGGGAAAGGAATTCCACGGGTTGGAGACGATAAGGAAGGAACGACTAAATCGTTCTAGAACTCAGTAGGTCTGTGTTTAGGGGCATCAGTACCATGGACCTCCAGATGGAGCCCAATATATGACCTACAAAAATTTAGGTGTTAAGTGTAGGTGAGAAGGAAAGTCGGCTGATAGAGAGAGGATGGGAATTCGATCGGTTAGAGGCATGGATAAGCAAGGAATGACTGAACTCCGTAGGTCTGGGTTTAGGGACATCAGCACCATGGATCTCCAAGGGGAGCCAAATATAAAACCTACAAAACAATTAGATGTTTAAGCATAGGTAAAATGGGATGTTGGCTGATAGAGTGAGGAAGGGAATTCCATGGGTTGAAGGCACAAATGACGAATGAATGCCGAACTCAGTAGTTCTATGTTCAGGAACATCAGCTCCATGGACTTCCAAGGAGAGCCAAAGATAAAAAAAATTTAGATGTTTAAGCATAGGTGAAATGAGATGTTGGCTGATAGAGTTCCATGAGTTGGAGGCACAAATGAAGAGGGAATGGCTAAACTCAGTTGTTCTGTCACATCAGTCTTGTGAACCTCCAGGGGAGCAGAAGACAAAACATAAAAAACAATTAGATGTTTAACCATAGGTGGAAAGGGATGTGGGCGGATTGAGTGAGGAAGATGCACAGATACACATATTCTCACCCAAGCAGCACTGAAGTTCTTAAGACATACCACTTTAAAAGGCAACCTCATGGACTGAGTTACGGCTGGCAGGCTGACATACTAGGAAACCTGGGACAAACTTTGGATCATAACTGCAAATCGTCACAACCCTAACAGGCTAAAAGCAGAGCTGAACTAATGGATGGAGAAAGAAATAATAATAATAAAAAGCAGGCAGGAACTGAGGAAAATATAAAAATAATATAAGTATATAATAATATCTCCGCCATCTCTCAGCAGACACATTGAAACATATTTTTTGAGACTGTGCATTAGTACAACCATTTAGAAAGGCAACATGCAAGCAACCTAATGAAATAAGTGAAGAGGCACCTCAGAAAGTGATTAACTACCTTAAGCATAATATTGATTGAGGGTGTGGATCTGCGAGTTGACGAACATGAGTAGAACCAGCTTTGTTCCGTAGTGTACAGCATCTCACTGAAGATGGCACAAAGCCAAAACATTCTTCAGTGAAGTCAAAAACCCGCAAGTTTAGTTGGTCTACCGGTTCATCTAAGGTCATAGTGGAAGTGTTGAGGACAGGATCTTGGTGATGGAAAACTGTGAGAACTGTTAAAACAATAAAAGCTGTGAAAGGTCAGATAAGGAGAAATCCTGTATGACACTGATATGTGATGTCTTGGGAAATGGCAATTTTTGAACCAAACCTGGATATGATGATCATGGATTGGAGTCATATCATAGATGCACAATTTTTAGCTCCTCATTTAAAAGATATAATGTGCTCTTTGAATGGTACACCAAAAACAAAAGTATTTGCTCGCAGTTATAAAGAAGGCTTAAAAAAAGCTGAGAGCCTCTGACCCATTTTTATTCTTCAGTTTGTTGTCGCGCACTCGAAATGTGGGTATTGAAGGGTGATATTTTTAAATAATTAATTCCTTCCTCGAGTTTCATTCTCTTTATTTTATAAACATGCAATAATTCAATATCAAGTACAAAATATTCCATGATAATCTTAAAATAATTTTTCATTTATTTATGTGATATTTTATGCATACAAAAGACAATGTTGAATGTCACCACAATCACCTTTAAATATAAATATATTTTCTGCTTGGTTTTAATACGATTTTTAAATGAAATACCCATTTATAAGCAGAGTGATCTAATTATAACGAGCTCCTCCCCTAAACACAAAAAAATATAAACATAAAAATAATATTTAGATTTTTAACAATTCTAGCTTTTTATCATACATGATGTTAGACTATACTACATGTAACATTAAAAATATTACATAAAGAAAATAGTAAGGGTTTAATATGAACAATTCAAGTTGCTACTATTGTATTTAGGAATAATTCCGTTTCATTCACATAATAAAATAATTTTATTTATCCAAGTAAAATAAAGTTTCCAATAGCGTTCTACTACTAACTTTTAGTTGTTTAAACCTTGTAAATAAAGTAAAACAAAGCGAAACAACAAAAGATGTTAAGTGCTCCCTGTAGTTTTGTAAAATTTTCGTAATGATGTTGAATTGACTTGAAGTCCCCCTAGATAAATAATTATGAATAAAACATATTTACAGAGATTCAGTCTGATAAGACAAAGATGCGCAATTACTAAAATATAAAGTGAAAATGCTCTGTAATGAAAAGTAAATTAGAAAGAGACAATTAGAAAATTGAAAGGACTAAAGGTTGGGTTGGATCTAAATACAATAGCTTGGATCTTTTGAAGGTTTGATTTTCAGGAGATAATTGAGTTTAAGTCCTCTTAAATTCTTACAATTGTTGTTTGTAAGTGGAACGGTAGGTGAATTTGGGAGTCATCTGCATGAAGGTAATGAAAGCAATATTTTATGAATATGAAATCATTAGGAACAAGTTAGACTGGGCTTATTGAACATAGTCTACTTGAGAATGGTTCAAAAAGAAAAAAAATTGAACCAGCAGAGGACACTGTGGAAAAAAGATAGTTTTAAGTTTAACAATGAGAATGGAAAGATCTACGACTTTAGAAAAATCAAGAAGGACGGATTCTATCAAAACACCAGGCTGGACATCACTTTGGAGGGGTGCAATGAGATTCTTCTCTAAGCAAGTAGACATTTCTAAATGGGCTAATTTTTCGAGAGGTTTAGCAAAGTTAGAGAGGATATTGGATGGATATCATTCAGGGAAATGAGATTAGGAATTTTATTATGAGGTTTTGCAATAGCTTGCTTCCAAGCTTTAGAAAATATTGAGTTCTGTAATTAACAATTAAAAGTTAAGATTAATTAAGGCAAACAGAAAGTACACTAAGAATACACGCTTTAATTAGCTATGGCACCTCAGTAGGAATTTTACTATGGCGTCAGGTGAATATCTTAGAAAAAGAAGCTGTTAGAGATAAAGGTTATGTGGACCAGAAGTTTATGAGTTTAATACAAGGTGAAGCTGGGAATATGAGAAGGGCTTGGGATGAACAAGAAATTGAGAGTATGCAGGAGGTTCCACTTGGACTTAGGGTCAGGAACAGAGCATAAGGTCTCATGGAAATAACGAGATTGGACCATTGGAAACTTGGTTGGTTGTAGGCCGCACGAAAAATTATAGATATGAGAGAACAGGAAGGATAATATGAAGACATATCTTAATTAGCTTTACAGATTTTAAGATAAAGAAACTATTAGAATCAAATGGAGGTCGACGAGGGATATAGATAGAGGTTATGTAAACCGGAATTGGTGGAAATAGGTGAAAAACACGCTTGTAGAACTGAAAACAATTCAACATGTTTGTTAATGTAAACAGATTTTTTAAAAATTTCTATTTTGTTTTGTTTTTTCAAGAATTTAATTTTGTTTAATCAAAGTTTGTAACTTTAATACTTTAAAAGTGATGTGTTTCTTTTTTTTGGGCTAAAACAAGTATCTTAATTTTATTGTAAAAAAAACCAACCAAATATGTAATCAATTTGTTAACCCAAAAACTGTTGTTCAACAACAAAACAGTCCATGTATGTAATATTCAAAAATAAACATCTAAAACATTGCAGTAGCAATTTCCACTGGGTAAGACCTTTGCTATAAGAAAGTTAAAATACAAAAACATAATATAGATCAAAACTTGAAAAATTTCATATTATAAATTTGGGAAATATTGATAATATGTCAATTATTTAGGGGAGGATTTAATAATTTCTAAATATAATCAACAGCCACTCTTTCTGAAATAGTTATCAATTTTTTCTTGACATTCGATACTTTTATGAGAAAAAAATCCAATTTTGTTCCATCACTCCGTTACTTTATAGATACATAATAATAAGAAAAATCACAATTGGTTCTTTAAATTGTGCCCATTAACTTTTATTTTGAATTAAATATAAGTCAAATGTCATGAAACAAATGACAATTTTGTACAAACAAATGTAATTTTCTTCTGTTTTGTATTTTGTGCGTTTGTGTGAAGCAACACACTGGACAGTTATGCTTTTCTTCTAGGAATTTCAACCAATTATAACTTATGTAAAACTAAAAATAAACTATCAAATAAAATATCTTTCTTTTAAATTAAAAATATTCTGTTACTATGTAATGCTTTCATTTTAAATGGAGCATTACCAGTTTAAAAACAAAATTCTTTGAGTACATTTTTAAATTTTATTTTATGAAGCATATTCCCATTTATTTCTAAGAAATAAAATAGTTTTTTTTTTTTAAAGATTATGTGAGTCTCCAGTGCCTAGCATGTTCAAAATCACGTTTTATACCAATTTTAGGCAAACGCAAGAAAAAAAAACTTCCACAAAATCACAATTATTGCGATGACGATACATTTCCCTGCTCAAAAGTTGACAGAGAAATCTCTAAATCTTTGTCTCCGTTTTTTTCCACAATCGTCCATATGTTCAGTACAATCCCTGGACGACGATCCTTTCGACTGAACGGCATAAATTATGATTCCAACATCTTCTTGGTATTGAAGATTATTTCTTTTCCTTCAAGTCTTTGTTGAGATAATGCAGGACGTAATGCAGAACCAGATCATAGCAATATTTGTATTCAGTCTGAAAATTAAAATTTTATGGGTTAGAATGCAACAAATAAAGAATGAAGGATTATTAAAAGAAATTATAAATTTAAGGGGGGGAACATATAAAAAATAAAAATCATTTTGTAAGATTTGACCTTGCTTGAAGAATTTATGCAAACTTTCCTTGCTGTACCTTTAGCTGAAATGTGACCATTAGCTTTTTCTCTTTATATTAATGATGCCCCATTGATTTCCAATTTTGCCTTTGATCTTGGACTATTATTTGTCAGAACTCTGTGTTGGCTTCCCCATCCCTTGTAATCAAATTTTGAAAATATTAAGCTCAACCGGATGGTGGAACAAGACACTGATTAGTGTTGTCTATGAGTCTGCAAATGACCAGTGGAATTGCCACTAGTGCCTTTTGAAGTCTGTGAAACGTACATCATCAGAATTGACCTTAAATTGTTTCAAATGCTTGACACCTATTGTCACCATTATTTCCACATAACACCAACAACACCTAAACCTCACTCAAAAAGAAATATGTGATTTGTGTCTCTTCAGTGCTTCATAACTTTGACATCATAGTCCATGCTGTTCATTATATTCTATGATATCCTGCAAAATTTGCACTATATGCCGACGACCTGGCTTTACTGACGTCTTGGAAGTACAATAAATCATGGCTATGGCTAAAATAGCAACACACTTTGAGATATGGAAGCTTTAATACAAATCAGATAAAAACAGAGGTAATCTTATTTTTCAAGCACAGACCACTAGACACAAGCATTATTGAATTCATGGGACAGTGCATACCATTGTCTGACAACACGCTTCAGCGTCTAAATATTTGCCTTTCATTGCATGTACAACACAAAGCAGACATTTTTGACTGGATTGTCACATACAACGAAAAATGGATCCTGTACAGTAACACCAGGAGGTCATTCTGCTGTCTAATTGATGTGGAAACCAAATATTCACCGACAAAAGGTGATGCTTTGTGTTTGGTGGAGTATGTTAGGTACTGAGCTCTATGAATCATCACCACAGAAATCTACGCAAGCCTTTGCAAAATATTTCTTGCCCTGGCCCAGAAACAACCTACTCTCAAGAGAAAAGGTGTAATTTTTCATCAAGACAATGCAAGAACTTATAGAGCCAGAATGGCAAAGGAGGTGATAATGAAGCTTGGCTGGCAAGTCCTTCCACAACCTCTCTACTCTACAGACCTAGTCACATCTAACTCACCTATTCTTAACAACGGTGTGTTCATGAGGAATGGATGTGGCCAATTGAGAGTTCGATAATTGCCAATAGCTGGAAAATGAGCTGAATTTATTCTGTAAGTGCCCAAACTTTTATAAGAATTTTATAACTAGACCCAGTATCTTGTTGGGAGATTTTTAAATATTTTTAAAATTATTATTAAGGCGATCAACCACTATGTGAGTTATTTTCTACCTTGATAGAGGTTAGGTTATATGGTACGTGGGTAATGAGGCACGGATGCAAGGAACACACTGGCCGGGTGAAAACAAGGCCCAACAGTAGTGCACATCCCAGGTCACCTTTTCTTTTCAATTATTGTATCCTTACCTATTCAGATTGTTGAGAAGGATGTGCATGCATTGCCACTATCTACATCCTTCCCCAATCCGGGGATTTATTATGGCCCGAGGATCCATAGGAGCGTGCACCATCCAGCTCAAGACCTCCCCAATCCAGGAGCTATGCCTATCCTATGCCACCCTCAAGCTAGCCATTTTTCATTGTATTAACATGAATACACTTATGCTAATTTTTTTGGTCGTCTGTTTTATATTTTTGGAAATAGATTGGTTTTCTTCAAAAATTCCATTAAGGTATCAATCGTATTGGAGTTATAACCCAGAATTTCTGGAAGATGGTATGGTATATTAAAACTTTTTTTGTTGTCTTCATATGCTTTACAGGTTGTCAGAATATGCTTCACTGTAACCAGCTCTCCACACATGGCAAAGATAGAGGCGTCCTCCCTAACCATAAATGACCGTTTGTGAGCCTTCTGAGTATAAATGTTGATTGAGACTTTTTCCTCTGAATAAAATATTTCTAAACCCATTAAACCTGCACGAACTTTTCTGGTTACCTGGTAATTTCCAAAATGAAAGCTGAAATTTAGCTCCAGGAGCATTAAACCTAATATCTCACTCATTCTTAAATATACATATTCTTTCCTATTAACATACCACTCAAGTAGGGTGGTGGAGTATATCTCTCAATCACCCTTTACACATATTATATAACTAATCTAATTGTGGGTTTATTTCAACCACCCTCTCAGAAGAATTGTTGAAGATTTATAGCTAACCATGTTTTCAATCAGTTGAGGTCTATGCCTGCGGACTGCTTTAACTGCTTGGAAAATATCAACTTCTCCATGTTGTATCACTTGCTCGATGCAAGCATTAGCTGCACAGTATACTCCACACCTTCCAGTGCCATCTCTAAAATGGCGAAATTTAATTATATCCATAATTATTGCCATTTGTAAGTCTATTAGTTATGGTTTGTGACTCAAAAATTTTGTTCAATTTTTCTTACGGCGAAACAACTACAACAGGCCCGTAATCTGTCCTCTGCCTCCATCTTTCCACCATGTTCATTAACTCAACAAGAGAATTTGTCGACGTTGGCACTCTGTGACCCATGGGCCAACATGTAAGTTGAAATAACTGGACCGTTCTCGGGGGAGCTTTCACACCAGCCATAAGTTCAGTAAGCGATACTATCTAAAATTGGTTTAAAAAATTGTACATTATTGTCCCATTATATTTTGAATATTTAAAAACCTTTACCTTTTTGTTTATTCTCAACAACCATGTTTTTATATTGGTATAGTGGTTGTGAGATATGTGGTCTATTGTAAACACTGGCCCATATTTCTTGGAATGACGACCTTCTGGCCAGAAAGCTTGGTAGTGTTGCTGAAAGGTATATTACATTAAATTAAAAAATATCAATTAATTTATATTATTGTTATATGTTGTAAACAATGATAAACTTTTTTTAATATTTACTGATCCGTGTGGAGGAATGCAGAGGACGACTACTGCAGAGCACTCGTAGTCATAAACAAGTGACCAAAATTCTCCTGGAGTATGTTTCAAGGGCCACTCTGTAACAATGTACTCACGAGGTTTTGTGTAACCCTTAAAACAATAATAATTTGTAACAAAAAACAAACAAACAAAAAAAAAAAAATCATTACTAACATCCACAAACACAGCATTTATGTAATCGGTAAAACTGTTCCCTTGAAAGGATGTCAGGTATGGTCTAAAATTGTCAGCTAAAATTGAAATTATTATTCAATTTATACATTAAAACAAATAGATGGTAAAAAAAAGAAAAATATTCTTACGGGGTACAATAAGAACATCACGATTTTTTTCTCGGTTATCCCCTCTATGACCTCCTGCACAATCTCCAATTGTAAACCTAGGAGTTTGTTTACATATTAGCTGAAAATTATGATACGATTGTGAATTTTTATATATCAACAAAGTTAGTAAATAATGGAATTTTAATGGGTTTTTTATAATATTAATTTTAACATCAACATATTAAGTTAAATCTGGTAGTTATAAAATTTCTGACATAATAAAACAATCTTTAATACTAAGATTATGACAAATCATGTTTAGATATAATTGATATCAGATTTTAACATTATTGTTGCATTAAAAAACTTTATTACATTAAAAAATTTAAAAGAAAACAAGTTTTCTTCAGTTCTTTCGTCAAGCTTTCAACTATGTATAGACCTATAGTCTATAGAAGGTGACCTATAGTCTTCATTTTTTTTCACTGCGACCTAAAAGATGACCCTTCTTTATTTTCAAACTTGTTCATCAGGTCATGCACCACCAAAAAGAGTGGAGATAGTATACAACCTTGGGTACATCCTTGTAATTGAGTCTTTTTATCTTGGAGTAACAGTTGACCTATAAACTGTTTTGTCTCTTTTTGTCAACTGTGACCTAAAAAATCTAATCTGCAGTGACCCTTCTTTATTTCCAAACCTATTCATCAAGTCATGTACCACCAACAAGAGTGGCGATAGTATGGGGACATTATTGTGATATTATTATCAAATCCTTTCTTTTTCTCGCTGCTGCCTCAATGGAATCATGTGAGGTGTTATCTAAAGCAACCCCTATACTCATGCATAGTGCTATTTCTCTTTCCTCAATGGTTTGGCTCACCTGCACTACCATAACTCTTGACTAATTATCTCTATTGACTTCTGCGCTAAGGATGTTAGGCTTATTGGCCATACTGATTTTGCTAAGGCTATGGGTCATCTACAAAATTATATAAAAAACAAAATTACCGTTGTCTGGGTACCAGGTCACACAGAGCAGAGGGGCAACAAAGAAGCTGATAAATTAGCCAAGGAAAGTTCAATGACACCTATTGGCGCTGAACACTTTTGTAGCATAGCAAACTGCCAAAAACGTAGATCTGTCAGACGATCGATTAAAAATAAGACCTCCCTTCAATGGGAATGTATCCCTGGAAGAATGTGAAAAGTTCATCAAGGACCATTGCAGAAACTAATGGCAAAACTACTGCCTACTAACCTAGGACGTATCAGGACTAGATAGTAGGATTGTAACTGGGCACTGCAGACTCCGGAGCCATATAGATTTGGAGAACAGCCATATAGAGCAGAAACATTGCGGGCATTGTAAGAAAGAGGAAGAGACCGTGGAACATGTCCTATGTTGGCTCGAAGGCTTATGTAAGCTGAGATTCCCCCGGGAGAGGAAAAGCCCAGGCCTGAAGAATACACATCGAAGTCGTTGAGGAGTAGAAATGATGAATGGTGGAGTGAGTACGGTGTTCAATCCTTTTAAAAAGATTGTCCTTGAGGAGCTCTAGACAACAATGAAGGTGCACAATAGACCAAAACTAGTCTAGTGCATAGGTCGAAAAGAGGCTGGCTCCTACTCTTATCTTATTCCTTTACGTTCCAGACAGTTTAATTTGTGCTATTTGATTGAATTTAATGTATATTTTATGCGAGTTTTTTAAAAACATACCTGGTATTCTCTTTGATATTCGTTCATTTTTGTAGTAGCATTTTTCAACGACTTCTGTTTGAGACGTTGAGACAGTTCTTTCACCGGAAACCATGTGATACCACAAACGATAAATTCTTCTAGCGTATCATACACAAACTTATATTGATCCTAGAATACAAAATGTTTTGATTTAATATTTTCAAAAATTATGACGATAAGAGTTGGATCAAAAAAAATCTGGAAGACATATATATTCACTGCTTAATTGCTTTTATTAATTTTTGTATAAATAAATGCAAAATTATAAAGTTAAGAGATTAACTTACAAGAGTTTCTATCATTCCTTTTCTAGATTGTCTCAACATTTTCAAATATCCGAAAACGTCGAAACAATCTTCTTCTTCTGCCAGTTCCAAGTTGGCGTCTATAGCTAGATAAACACCGGACCGTCCTCCTCCATCGCTATTAAACATTTTTAAGTAGATTAAACATGTAATTGTTTGTGCTGAATGGCTTTTGCATACTTGCAGTGGACAACGATTGGACCTCCTTGTTTTGTCCGAGATCCCACTACGGCCCTCATTCTTCGTCTGAATTCCAGAATCGCATTGGAGAACGGGCACGTATGGCAGGGCCACTCGGTGTAGTGGAATTGTAACAGTATCCTTTCCTCCTCTTCACTCTATTGTCCATAAAGCTGTAAATGCTTTTATGTTCTTGAAATATATATAAGCACATAATCCATTATGCAAAGTCTAGTTTTATCGCAAGGTTAATGGCACCGGCTTTACACCACTAGAAATTATTTAATGCATAAATGTTAGTTGAATATAAGAACTTATGGGAAATTCTTAGCTGGCGACCAATTTTTTTATGCTCCCTAGATACAAATGATAAATTTTACCACTGAATGTATACAAAAATTATGGTCCACTTACATCAACTCTTACCATGTTAAAAAAAAAAAAAAAATAGTAACTGTACAAAGTTTTGAAATCATTTCGCTCCTATTTATGGTTTTTATTCATCTTAATAAAAATAATAATTAATTAAAGGTTAATCAAGGTTTTGTTAAAAAATGCCATCTCACCGTATTCAATTTGTTGATGACTTTAATAGTTCTTATGTGAAAATTGGCCAATTCTTCTTCATGCAGCACAGATATGTTGAGCTCTCCGTACGTTTCACTTTTTACTTTGGCTGACGGCCAGTATTGAATGCACATAACCTGCAAAATATGCTGCGTAAACTAAAGCATTTTATTCAATTTCAATAAAAGCCGTATGATATTGATTTCAGTATTAGCATATTATCAGTGTCATTATTTTTTAGATTGGGTGAACTATTATTGATTTGTATAAGCTCAAATCTTCACACGCATGCAGCTTTTGTAATTTACAGTAAATTCCCCCTCCCACCTCGGACGTTGTCAGTCAAGGGTCAGACCTCAGTCTTATCCGTCCAGCCACTGAGGTAGGGCTCCGTGTGTTATCAACAGCTAGGTCATAACATAATAAGTTCCTAAACCCATTCACACTTTCACTCACTCTTAAATAAGTTCTTTTCTATTTTCACACCATTCACTCAGAGTACTCAATATGCCAGCACTCTTTACACTTAGTGTTTAACTAATGTAATTGAGGGCCCATGGGGTATTCAATAATCTACCATCAGCCCTTTCACACTACACATTCACGCTAATAAATACATTCATTACACAATGAAACACAAGATTATATATATANTATACATTAAAATAGCACTGTTTCCTCCACAAGTCAGAACAGGGGGACCCAAATATTGGCATAATCTTATATCGAGTGGCTCTATATATGGAGTGAAGGGTGACAGTCCTTTAGCGAGGATGAAACAGCACAGACTCCCTCAGGTTTCTGATATTTGTTATTGATGGTTATTGGTTCGAACCCTGACATTGCCTTTGGAATTTTCAGTTTGAAAATCATGAATCAACTAATCAAACTGAGGGTCAATGTGCTACTTAATATTCGACCACCAGCCCTCTCCCACTATGTTCACGCTAATAAATACATTCATTCTCAACCTACACAAAAGAAACACAGAATTATGAAAAATTAGAAAATGATTTATTGTTATGCAAATTAATATTAATAATCCCTTCAGAAAGAGAAAATTATACATTTTAATCTATAGGTTTGGTTCCAGACCAAGCGTTTTTATTATTTAATTAAATTGGTTAACCAAAAAAAAAAAAAAAAAAAAAAAAAGAAAATCTACATAAAACCATGTTTAATTGTTTGTTTTCATACCTTGATGAAATCAAATGTTTTTGTGAGCATAACGATACAACTTGCTTTTTCTTGCCAAATCATTCTCCAGAACTCACTCACTGTGGTTTCCGTTGGTCCCTGAGTAACTATGTACGCATTTGGAGTTAGTAAACTCTGAAAAAAAGAAAAAAAAGAAAAATAATTATTATCTTACCAACCAATCATATTTATGTATTAAAATCCTATTCAGCATTAAATTTCATTATTTAGCATGAAAAGTAATTAAGAGGAGAGGGGTCAATTTTATTAATTAAAGGGTCAAACCACTTTACAACATTTTCTCCATATTATTCAATTAAAAATCCATGAGCTACCTGGCTTTAAACCTAAGACCATTACCACGGCATATATGAATGGGATGCCCATTCATCCTTATCTGGTATAAAATTATGTCCAATAATCTTTATTATTTCAATGCCAAAATATATAATCAATCCTGCTATCAACCAACATTTTTAGATACTAAATGTAATTCAAAAAACATCATGTAGAAGAACATTTAGCCAAGCAAAATATGTAATAATGCTGTGTAATAAAAATGTCCTTAGTTGTAGCCATTTAAATAGTTTACAATTTTATATCGATACTTTTTATTATAGAGATCCCCAAAGGTAATGTGTTGACTACTACTATTTTTTATAAGTTTGTCTGATTTAAAAAAAAATCTAATTTCCAACAAACCAAAGCAATGGTATTCACAGCCTCACCCAGATGTAAATACTTGAGACCACTGCAATACCAAGAAACGACAAATTTGTAGTCATTTAAATCCTCATTTGTTCGGTGGTTTAGCATGTTGATTTGTGGTTTTGGACCAAAGGGTGTGAGGTTTTTGGGAATTTGTCAGCCTGTTTGTTTCCCTGTTTTATCTTCATGTCCCGAAATCCACCTTAAGGCCTTGTGAGAGGGAAATTTAAGGCATAGATGCCTTCATAGATGCCTGACTGTTCAAAAGTATGTAAATCCATGCACTTCTTTATCAACTCCTTTGCATACAGTTGAATTGTAAGATATTCCTCAGCCTGGCAGATAATTGGAACCAGTCCAAAGATGCTGGGGGTGTAATTCAGCTCTTTCAACCCAACATTGCAGTAGCATAAATAATATATTTATTAATATATTTAATAGTATTAATATAGTACTATTAATAATGTATATAGTAATAGTATATAATAAATAATATATTTAATATTATATTTATTTTTGTTTTTTAAATTTGCCTAACTTTCCCTCCTGTACTATGAAAAGTGATGTTTGCTAATCAAAATCAAATTTTACTTATTCTTTTCTTACATCTACATAAGAAGCATTAATATAATCAGAATCTGGAACGTCATGTACAGCATCCAGAACAACTCGATTGTAGTCATCTGAAAAAGATTGAATCAAAATGAAATTGTAAATATACAATACGTTAGCAACTTTGTAAATTTTACTTACAAGGAATGCATTTTGGATTTTGATTTTTTAATTTATTCGCTACTTTGGAAGCATGTCTGCACGAGTGGGTTTCCACTTTTACTGCCGTCTGAAAATAAACAGAAATCAAATTTGTGTGGACTTTTCTCTATAATATGCCATTTTTAAAGAAAACACAATTTTTTTTTTTAAATTGAAATATTAGGGATAATGCCAATTAGAAAGAAAAGAAAAATGCACAGTTGAATAATCTGAAGGCTCAGATCCAACAATGAAATTCACATAAATGAATTCAACGGATTAGAACTAAAATGCAGAAATTATATGATATATGGAAAAAAGTGACGGTGTGAGTAAGGGGTAGTGGAGTTTTCTAGTAATTCAACTTTTTCTCCTGAACTCACATAAAAAGAGACAGTAAACATAGTGAACAACCAAAGCAGAAAAATTGGGCAAAAAAATATAAACACTAAACACAGAAAAAACAAACCAAAGAACTACAATACAAAAGTTCTAAAATCCAATTTTCACCTAATAAAAAAACAACAAAAATTCAACATAATTTTCTGCTTTGGTTGTTCGCTATGTTCAATGCCTCATTTTTATGTACTTTGTTTGATTTTTACACTGAATTTTTCTTTTTGCTGTGCTTTTTTTATTAAGTTAAAGTTGGGTCTTGCAACTTTTGTATTATCTTATTTTTTTTGTTTTGTCTGACAAAGTTCATTAGGTGCTTCTACACCTCAAGTACAGCAAAAAAGTTCATTGAACCATAGTCCGATTTTCAATACTTTCACAGATATTCAACAATATTTTTTTTTAAACTGTCTTCTGGGGAAATCAAAAAAAAATTGAAAAGAACTTTAAATTTCCTTTAAGAAGGCACCCTTCTAAAACACTTTTCACTCTCCTTTAATTTTTGATTATCAACAAAACAAAAACAAAAAACTGCTAAATTTAAAATTTGTAAAAAGAGTAAATTTGCAACCTCCTTGGAAAAATTTACTGTAGAGCTTGGCAAATTTCATAACAACTTCTTTGTTTAATAAAATTTCTAGGGGTATCCCAATTTCTTTAATTACATCGAACCACAATTGAAAAATTTTATGCTAAACGGGAAAAAATTGATGGTGGTATGAAAAAGGGGCGTGGTGTTAATCTAGTAATTCAATTTTTTGTGCTGGGCAAAATTTATTTTATTTTAACTTAATAAAAAAAGCGCAAAAAGAAAGAAAAATGAAATAATTATTGGTAAAAACACAATAAATATCGTGAACAAACAAATTACGTTATTTTTTTTTTGGTGAGTTTTTATTAGGTTAAAGTTGGTTTTTACAACTTCTGTGTTGTTATTTTTTTCATTTATCTATGCTTAGTGTAGATATTTTGTCTAATTTTTCTACTTTGGTTTTGTTCTATATTTATTGTCTCTTTTTATGTTTTTTGTTTCATTTTTCTTTCTTTTTGTGCTTTTTATTAAGATATAGTTGGAGAATAAATTTTGCCCAGGAGAAAAAGTTGAATTACTAGAAAACTCGACTACCCCTTATTCACACCGTCACTTTTTTCCATGTATCATACCATTCCCCCCCCCTAAAATTCCTGCATTTTGGTTCGATGTAGTTAAAGAAAAGAGTATACCACGAGAAGCTTATTAAACGGAGAAGTTATGAAAGTTACCAAACTTTACATTCAATTTTTCCAACGAGGTTAAATTTATCAGTTTTTGGAAAATTTAGTGTATTTTTAAACGAAAAATTAAATTGAAAAGGATCTAGAAGGGTGAAAACTTAAAGGCAATTTACCTTTCTTTTCACTGATTTTCTAGGATTTCAGGAAGAAAATTGATTAATTGTAAAAAATAAAATGTTGAATATCTGCCCCTTTCGCAGATATTCAACATTTTATTTTTTCCAACTATTCAGTCGGTACATGCTTCATACAAACTTTTTTGTTGCATTTGAGGTGAGAAGCACCTGACGAACTTTGTCGCACAAGTAGTGAATCACCCTGTATAAAGTAATTAACCCAATGAAAATAATCATGACAATAAAATAGTAGTACTATTGCATCAAATCCAAGAAACGCTTTCCATTAGAAAAATCCTAAACTAAATAATAGAAAAATTAAGGGGAAATCCTTAAGAAGAAACTGAATAAATTTTGAAAAGTACAAAAATATCCTACGTGAGCACTTCGTAATCACAAAAAAATACCATTTTTGAAACCTACAATTTACATGTGCATCACAATGATTTCATTAAATAAACTACACTAATTAAAACAAATATTAATGCATGGATGAAAAACATCGCGAATTAAAATTCCAATTATAAAATGATTTAATTTTTTTGACACTACAAATTATGTGCATGATACCTTTGATTGGTGATATTGTAGGATCCCTTACGGAGAGATGCGCCTTCAGGGCTATCTAATAATAGACAAAAAATGGAGAACACCACACTTGACCTCAGCGGCCCTGAGACAACACAGGAAGCAGACGCCAAAAATCGGCCGCACTTTGGCTCGGCATGCGTATCCATTTTGTTGGACTTTTTTTACTGGAGAAAAGGAGAGAAAGTTGAAGAGAGGGAGAGGGAGAGAGAGAGAGGGTGAGAGAGAGAGGGAGAGAGAGGGAGAGAGGGAGAGATAGAAAGGAAGGGAGAGACAGACATGAATAAATAAAGAGAGNGAGAGAGAGAGAGAGAGAGAGAGAGAGAGAGAGAGAGAGAGAGAGAGAGCCGAATCAAGAAAGAGTGAAAGAACTGGAGAAAGAGAGAGAGAGAACGGATTTAAAATTAAAATTATATGTATATAATAACTATTAAATAGAAAGGAACACATGATTTATTGGACTGATGCACTCGGAATTAATTTCAAAACGTATTTGTCTTATTTAGTTAGATAGAGGTAGTCAAACCTACACCTGCTAATTATATTTGGATTAATTGGTCACAAGTCTGAGGCCATCGCAGCTATGAAAGTTTGGAAATAACCTTCCAATTTTTATCGTATATCTATTAAACCGTTCCGTGACTGACTGACAGAAACACACAGGCCAAACCGCTGGATATAAAGGGCTGAAATTTGAACAGTGCGAAGAGGAGAATTTTAGAAACGAAACATTTATATTAGGATGCACTAGTACTCTGCATCTCATTAGAAAGGTCCATGAAAACAGAGTCCTGCGTAGACGAAGTAGCGGGTAAAAGCTAGTATTTTATAAAGAAATGTTTTGGTTTGCTTACAAACACCTCTGATTTTATCATTCATCTATAATCTGGAGAAAAAAGTCAGTGTCATGAGCGGGATTCGAACCCACGACATTCGGCTAAATACGCCGCTGCTCTACAACTTGTATCGTGACTTCGATGCACTCGAAGACCAACTTCCCATCTCAACCCAAGCTTTTGAATTTTCCCTCCTTTTTGCTTTTTTATCTCAACCTATTCCTTACATAAAGATTAATTAATTGAAAGAAGTTATTTGGTCAATCGGACCACGAAATGTAATGGATTTTATAAGTAAAATTAACTATATCTTCACTAAAGCTCTCCGTGGCTATTTCATTTGTCGCCGAGAATCAGATATCAAAATGTTTATGGAATTTAAATATATGGAATTTTAAATTTGGTTTTTAATAATAAATGTTTGCGATAGTGGTACGTATGTGACAGTTGTCTGATAATATACCAAGGGCTGTAATGACTTGAAATTGTTCCTTTTTTATATACATTGTTTAAAATGTTTTGCCGCGGTTTTCGGATTTACGAATGATTTTGAGCTGGCTGTGTCAATTAATAATTTTTGATTGTTTTCTGGGAGTAATATATAGGGTAGGCGGCTTCCGTTATATGTTAGTGATTATTCGGAGATCGTGAGATGGGTCTTGTGTGACGTAGGTTTTAGAAAAATATTTTCTTTATCATGCCAACGTTTCGATCTTTGTTGAGATCTTCTTCAGAGCTCAAAATGTTTGTTTTCCGTGTGAGAGTGCCCACGACTCACAAGAATGACACACCTACACGGAAAACAAACACTTTGAGGAAAAATTCGAAAGGTGCGATTGAGATGGGAGGTTGGTGTCCTAGTGGATCAAAGTCACGATTGCTCAAGTGGTAGAGCAGTGGCGTATCAAGCCGAAGGTCGTGGGTTCGAATCCCGCACGTGACACTGACTTTTTTATCTCAACCAATTCTTTACATAAAGATTAATTAATTGAAAGATGTTATTTGGTCTATCGGACCATGAAATCTAATGAATCAATAGAAAGTTGTTTTGGTACAATGATATAAATGAATTATGTGACAAGTGTAAATTGAATATAATGGATGTATTACAGGATAGAAAAACAAATTGTGAATTTAATAGATAAAAGTCAAAAATTTGATGCCTATTGATTATAGACAAACTGTAAGATATGAAAACACTACTCGTCATCCTCTCTATAAACATTTGTGTACTGTAAGCCAATATATAAGGTCCGAAATAAATACAACTTCGATAAGTTGGCTAACAAAAGTTGGAGGTGAATTACTCTATTAAATAAATATCGATTAAATCACGACGTAAAAATGTATCCATTGTGTAACCGGAAGGATGAAGATGTTTTTCATTTTGTTGCTTTGTTCCCTATTCTAACTGATTGTGAGTACTGGTTACTTTGTTTTAATAAATCTATATTGCCATTTGTGGTGTTTATTGAATATTTAAATGTGAAGGAACTTTGACTGTTTATTTAAATACTGCCAACACGCCTGGCAGTACAGGTACAAATCAGTAATTTAATTTAACCCCTAAAGTGTGTACCGTATAACTAAATAACTATTTCTTAATGACTATTTTATTAAAATGTCTCTCATGTAATTTTAGATTAATGTTTTTTCTACTTAGATCTAACAAGGGGGCGATAAGGTTGGTGTGTCACGGATTTGGGCCAAACATTTTTTGGTGATTCAACACTCCAAAATATCGGACACGTATCCGCCATTTCTTGTGAACCGTCCCTGGTTTCGCCAGATAAAATATTTGAAAGTTGAAATTTTCCATTTTTAATATTTGCCCGTTTTACTTGATCAAATCAATTATGTTAATATATCATTTCACAACATGTTTTACGTAGAATGCAATAAAAATATACTAAAGGCTATCAAAGTTTATCAATAACCAAAAAAATTCTAAACGCCAAACATTTAGCAACTAAACTAAGTCAAAATTGTCAAAACTTGGATTTATTTATTGAATTTTTGACCCCTAAAATTTTGAGAAGTCGTTATCCGATATCTGATTGAAACGACTATATTTCAAAAACGGCTGTAAGGGTTTTTAACAACAAATGTACCATTTGAAAGAAGAGGAATGCAAAATAATTTGTCAAAAATTAACCCCGTTCTTTTAAAATGAAATAACAGACACATTGTAATGTTTAATACAGTTATAAAATGCATTTGACAATTTATTTGATTCGAATTATCAACCGATCAATCGGTCTCTTAGGTTTTGAGATAAATTATGTTACAGCTTGCACTAGTATTGTCAGTCGGACAGAAAGGTAGTCGAAATTCTGAGCCAAAAAATTAATTTACACCGATTTCCGCAAAAGTCGGTATCTAAGGGTTTTTAGCACTAGAATCACGACAATGAGGTCAAATCCAAGTTTTAACCTACTTTACTTGAAAAATATTTGGTTTTTAGAATTTTTTTATTGTTACTGATACACTTTGATAGCATTTACTGTATTTTTATTGCAATCTACATAAAAATGCTGTAAAAAGATATTCACATAATTGATTTGATAGTGTAGAACGGCGAATTAAAAAAAAAGGAAAATTTCACTTTCAATTTTTTTTTTGCCGAATCCTGGGCCTACTAACAAGAAGTGGCAGATTCTTGATGGTTATTTTGGAGTGTGGAATCACCAAATCCGTGACATACCAACCAGGTCGTCCCTTGTAAGTCTAAGTAGCGAAATTTAACTTTTTGGCTGATGATTCTAATTTTATTGTATTTGCATTTCATTATTATTTTCATTTATTTCTATCAAGATGATTGTTTTTGTTTTAAGACAACACCTCAATGCCTAGCGTATGGCATTTCGAAAGGAAAGCATATTTTTTTTACGAGGGTTCGCAACAGCAGAGGTCATATAAACCCTCGGGGTGTCGGTGTTTTTGAAAAAAAGCCCATTTGTAAGTATGTCGGGTTCGAATGCAGGGCCGGTGGATTCGAACCCGGGACCTTTACCGTACAGTGATGAGCGCCGTGTCAACGATTAAACCGTTGCGACCACCGACGCCCCCAAGGGCTTTTTTTAATTTTTAAGGGCGTTTTATCGGCTAAGGTCATTTCACGCTCTAACATTTAAATCTTCTATCTTAGATTTCAATTAAGGTTTTTAGTAGAGATAAAAAATCAGTGTCACGAGCGGGATTCGAACCCACGATCTTCGGCTAGATATGCCGCTACTCAACCACTTGAGCTATCGTGACATCGATCCACTCCCGCTCGTGACACTGACTTTTTTATCTCAACTAAAAACCTTAATTAACTGAAATATATCCAGCGGCCCTGCATTCGAACCCGGGACCTTTACGTTACAGTGATGAGCGCCGTGTCAACGCCTAAACCGTTGCGGCCCCCGACGCCCACTCCAAACATTATTACCCTGCAATTTTTTTTTTTTAATTTTTTTAAATTTCATTTGATTTCATTTTTCCACTCCGGCCGCCTCAAAAATTCCTGAAAAAAGAAAATCTTTCACGCAGAACTCTCATTCAAACACAAGCAGACAAGCATTCAAAGATATAAGAATTCAGGAAAAGGCCTAAATCTCATTATAAATGCCAATAAATTTAAGAAAGCTGAAAACTGCTCTTCGGGGGAAAAACTGAGAACCTAGTAACTCCTTTAAATGACTTGAAATATTATTATTATTATTATTAACTTGAAATTATTATTTATTAATCCATTTATGTTTAGTGGTCTAATTGACCATTTATAATTATTTCAATTAATTCCCTCTCATGACACTAACTTTTTCATCTCAACCAAGACCTTACATAAAAAGAATAATTAATTGAAATTATTCTTCTTAACAATTAATTGAAATTATTATTCTTAATAATTAATTGAAATTATTATTCTTAGTAATTAATTCGATAAACCACAAAAAACAAAACAAAAAAGTTCATATATTTACCTGGAATTCAAGTTTGTATAAAACTGGAAATTTACGTCTTTGTTCGCAATGTTTAACAAAGTTTTTGAGCTCAATCGGCTTGTTTGGAATTGTCGAGAGGACTCCGTTGTTTTCGCTTCCTGAAACAGAGATGTGATTATAGCAGTGTAACGACACTTTTCCAGTTATGGAGAATAATTGAATGACAGTTTGATTAAAATAGTTTTTAAAGTCGATATTGACACTGAGAACACGGCAGTTTGCAAGACAATAGAAACGAAGATGGACTTGAAAGATCTGCGGAGGGTTTGATCCAAATCTTTCTTTTGTTGGCCCAAAACCAAATCTATTGACCTAATTAGAGAATGGTCTCTTGTTTTCACAAATGGGAAAATGCGGAAGAATTACAAACTGGAAATTAATTATTTAATTTTTCTATCCCCAAGTGAGTTACTGAAAGGGTGATATCAGGCTTCGACTCTATTCACTTTTAGATTCAAGAAGTTTTAGGTTCAAGACCTTGAATACCTTAGATTATATGATTCTGGAGGAGCAACTGCTTCTTTTGCCTTTCTTAGACACTGAATCTTAAAGGCGACAAGTGTTTCTGAGTAGCTGAACGTCACGGCTATCCAGAACGTTGAGTGGCCAGCAAGCAAGAAGTCAGTAAAGAAAGAAGGCACGTGCCAAGTTGGTACCAATCCTTTACCTTGAAAACAAGGCCATCTGGACGCAAGTCCTCATTGAAGATGGCGCAAAGCCGAAACGCATCTGAGTAACATAAAAAAACCGTGAGTGTAGACGGACTCGATGCCAGTTCACCGACCCGGAGACTAAAGCTGGGCCCACACTAGGTCGGTGGGGCGCGGCGCGGAATTATGAAGGTCCGCACACTATGTAGGAACGGCTCTCGGCCGCGTTGGCCGAATTTTTCCCATCCATCTGACTAGCGCTGCGGTTTAGTGCTGATTTTGCATTTGCAGGAGTCCCCAAGTCACAATCGTTGTCTTCGTCTTTACAAATATGGCGTCGGACTCAACCCGAACTCAACGATTTCCGACCGCCCCGGCGCACACCAGGCCGGTAGCGCGGCGCCGGGTTCCAGAAATCTGGCGACTTCTTCCTGCTCCGCTCCGCCCTACCGGCCTAGTGTGGGGTTACATTCATTTCAGTGTATTCTTCTTGGGGGTCGGTTCCGCGCCACGCCACCGATCTAGTGTGCGCCTAGCTTAACCGTTTTAGGATAGTCAGCGCCTTTCGGTCTTCAAGTGAGGTCCCGAGAGTGCGATATCGCTCTCCTAACTACCTCTAAGCAGCGTTGCACCATCCTGAAAGGGATAAAGCCTTCTGTTGGGCGTAGAAATTTGACACAAAAAGGACACATTTAAAAATGATTTCTTAATGTCCAAGTAAGAGACAAGCGAAGAGATTCATAGAGGGACCACTTAGATTCTGGAAAGTCTCCTGAATGGACCCTGCAAACTTTGTGGAGATTTCGCCCAGAAGAGGAAGAAACCGCGTAAAGCATTATGAGCTGCTTTGAAATTCCATCCAGGAATTTCTGCCAAGAAAGACTCACTAGGAACCTGATGAACCTGAGCTGTACTAGGTTGAGGTGCAAGGTTTATAATTAACCTTATTATGTATTTCAATTAATTAACATTTTTATAAAGTTTTGGTTGAAATAAAAAAGTTAGTGTCACGAGAGGGATTCATTTCCACCAAAACCTTACATTAAATTTTAATTAATTGAAAGAAGTAATTTGATCAATGAGACCACTAATTATAATGGACCTACTATTTATGTTAAACTGATCGGCACTTATCATTCTATTGCACCGACAACATACTACACGCCACCTATCGATCGCATCTAGTCCTCAATATCCTAATCCTCACTGAAGATTGCGAGAAACCGAAATCCGTTCGAGTGAAATCTAAGCCCTCGAGAGTCGACGGGCCCAATAATACGAAGTAACAATCAGTTTAATTATAAACTAGCATAATTGATTTTGATGATGCTAAATAAAAATAAATTTAACAAATAATTTAAGAAAAGATGACGCCGTGTTTTCAGGATTTTCTGGTAAAAATAAATCATTTCTGTCTTCAACAACAAAACCGCCCCCGCATAGCCAAGCTGGACGGGCTGTATTAAACATAAATAACCCCAGTCGATTGACTAATCCAAAAATACCACTATAACACCCACAACTAGCAGACCGACCGACAATACGAAAATAAAATTAACTGTTTCAAACAGCCCATGGATTAAAAAAATGCGTTTCTTCTATTTAACACATAACCTTGTCAATTTTATGTTACCGATGTGCCTAATATTGGATTCCGCCAGAATAGGACTGTTTACAATAAAGCAATATCCTCTTTTGATCCTTTGTTGCATTGAAAGCATCGCCGACTTCCGGACGGTAGATTCACTCCACAGATTTTCAATTGATCCCTGACCACCGTAGATACCAATCTCGTCGTCATACAAAAGGCATCTATTGTTTAGCCCCGCCAAGGAAATCATACTCCTGGAAAGTGCAAGGTGTCTATCGGGGCGTTGAGGTTGCTCAAGGCGCAACTAAATAACCAGTCCTTTCTCCACGGCTGTTAGTTTAATTTTATAAGTTCGCCCCATGTCAAACAACCAGCGACATTCCATAGGCGCTTAGCTTTGTCCCAACTTTTGCATAAAATTTGTGGTACATGTTATTTCGAGCCAAGGTAGTCATGTCCTTCATTTTCCATTCTAACTTAAATATCATGTTATTAGCGGCCTTCGGTGTTTTTTTAAATTAAAATTTAATAACTATGAAGTCTTCCTAACTCGGATTATCTCTTGTGCCAAGAATTCTCTCGGCTTATAACGCTCAATCTGCTTTAATCTGCTAATGGTCATTTAAGAGGTAAGGATCGTTTTTCGGGACCAAAAGTTAATTTATTAAAATATCTTCTTTTTATATATAAACCACAACCATTTTCGGAAAGGAACTAAACAGGTCCCACGAGATTCCGAGTTTAAGAAGCGCTTAAAATAATTTTTTGAAAATGGCGAATCAAGCTTCGAACTTGCAACTCGCCATCCCTAAGACTTTTTAAAGACTTTCTCGTATATATTCTATTATGTCAAAAAACTTCTCTGTAAAAACATCGCCTCACCCTCTTCTTCAAGAGGAATCTGCGAATGTTTGTACTGCTTAAATTGTGGTTCAACGAGAGAAATCCGAGATGTATCAGAAAATCCAGAAAATTTTTTATTTTTCACATTTCAGTATGCTTTTCTCCAAAACCCTTAATCATATTGAAACGGTTTTTTTCACATTTTGCAGACTAATAATAGGCAAAAAATCGTAGCGTGCAATGTTTGACAGTTAACACCCAAGACCGGAAAATTTTGTTTGCTTATGATACATGCTAATGATGTAAAAATTGGCCATATCTTTAGGTTGTATCAAAAAATTAAACGATTCATAATTTAAAAAAAATACATAACTAAGAAATGGCATCGTAATGATGAATATAAAACAAACAAAACAATCGGTTGTAAAGGATCAAACATATTTTGAAAAAATGACACCGAAAAATGGCAACTTGTCGGTGTCCCTTTGAACAATCTGCCTTGCAAAATTGCTGAAATACGGTAACATTTTAGAGTTTGATGCTTAAACACAAAGTACAGACTTTCATAGAAACGAAATGCGCATTAACATTTAAAAATCCATCATTATTAAGTAGAATTAAACCAAAAACTGTATGAAAAAATACATCCTTTCGTCGGTTTGGTTAGGTTTTCTCTTTACTCTTCCGCCTGTTTGCCGCTATGTATTTGCCGACCGTGATTTGAGATTTTTGAAATGTGAAATTCATTAAGGAAAAATGAAAAGAGAATTGGTGACAAAATACACCCCTCTTTCACCCCCTAGCATGTTAAACGTTTGTGACACGATTTCTTGTCAACATATTACAAAACTGAGTTCTATGCCAGTAAAATGTTACAATTTATGCAATTATTTATAGAAACTCAACTATTAACTCCTACTCGTTGCCTTAATGCAATTTGAGTAATGCAGGCTTGTACAAAGGTACTTTTCTACCTGCTTCGAAGTTACTTTGGTGATGACCCAGTTTAAAAAAAGTGATGATTAATTATCGGCCTATTTCTTTGTTGCCTATTTAGTCCAAAGTTTTTGAAAACAAAATCATGAAAATCAGGGTTTTTGGACTTCTTTGAAACTAATTTTTTTTTCTGTCAGTCTCAATACGGCTTTAGAGCTGGTAAAAATATAGAGAAAGAGATTATGAACTTTGTAAAGTATTCTCTACACATTTGTAAAGTATTCTCTTGATTGTTGTGAAGATGGCACATGTTCGATTGCAAGCTTTTTTAGTAAAGCTTTTGACTGTGTATACCATAAAATTCTTTTATAAAAACCCATATGTTATCATTTCTCTAACATCTCCATCGATTTAGTTAAACCATTTTTATGTAACAGCTGTCCTATTTGATAATGTATTATCAGGCTTCAAGGTCACTACTAACGGGGTCCCGCAAGGATCTGTAACCGGCTCAATATGGTTTTTCTTCTTCCCAAATGATTTTTATTTTAATTATCCATCATATCGATGTTATTTGCTTTGCGTTGAGTTCAACTATCTCTTGGGAGTAATGACCTAAATAAAGCCTTAGGACTTAACCTGATATTGGTATATGATCTTCAAAGTTGGTTTGATGAAAATGGTCTTTGCCTAAGTCTAAACCAAGATATTGGCACTCGGTGTTTTGTCAGCGTTTCCAAATAATTGCCACTATCTTGTTTACTTCTGCGATGTCTCGGATGTCAATGTGTACCAAAAAATGATCGTACCCAACTCTCAGGTCATCACCTCTCAGACCTCAAGAAGAAAAATCTTCCAATATTACTTTTTATTCTGATACAACTCAGGCATTTCTTGAACGTCAGGTTTAAAAATAGAGCCAGTGAAATTTATTAAAAGCTCGGAAACACGGGTACAAAAGATTGTTCACGTGTGATGGTACTGCCTCCGTGGTGCCAAGAGTGTAAAAGAAGGATGGTGAGAGCTAAGAGAGGAACTCGGTCATTCTAGCGTTAACATTCACCATCCCAACCATCAA